AGGGATCATGCCCCAGAGGTTGACCGCTGCAGAGATGGATTGATGAGATCGGTTTATATGCAGGAGGGACATGGATTGTGGCATCGCGGCACCACAAGGAGTGACAACGATGCCAAATATTGCCAATATTTGCCAATTAATGAATCGTGTAACATTTTGTAACATGCTTGCCTTATAATGATGTTTGCACAGTGATTCGTGCACGTTGCTGTTTTATCGTCAGAGTCCCTGTTGCAAGCTCACGTGTGCAGATACATTTATTTTGTAAATGTTGTATTCGTAAAAACAATGAACTCATCGTTTCCCATGTATGTGCAATAATATCATTACATCAGCCGAATATCAGTTTCCAACCGGCATACGTTTGAATTTCTGGTTGGATAAAGTATAGCATTTTGACCCAGCTACTATCTGAAATCGTACGTAGTTTCACACGTCTGGTTAGTTGTTTCATCTCACTATGTTCACTATCCATCCACGTAGAATATTATTTCACTCTAACCAGGTGACTTATCATAGGCACGAGGATCCACACTTTAGTTCACCACAATCGGTCGATACATTTACTGTTGCTTCTTCCAAAGTTTGAAACTCTTACTTTTGTCGAAACATATATGGAGCTAATTTTATCCGGCTGCCAATTTTGGGGTGTGAAATTATCATGATTAGTTGAGAAATTGTATTGGGCACGATATCAGCCAGGCTTTGCAGTGGAACGATAATAGGTATTGCATTGTTAGACTTTCAGTCGGCATGGTTACCCGCGTTCAGACCACATATTGCAAACTATATACGGCATTATTTTTCAACGTATAAAGAATTATGGTTTTTATAACGGAGGGGTTTAAGGAAAAATCATTAGTTGCACAACCAGCACTGCGTTGTTTATAATTTCATTAACACTTTTCTTTTTCCCTGAAGATACATTGTGCGGTGAATTCTTGTAATGCTCAGCACTTATAAAATTAAAGAAGGCCATCTGTGTCAATAGTAAAACACACCTGTAGTCATTATACTTAACATGCACATACCATATGCTGTGTGAAACAAGGATTAATCTTTCTTAGCAATAGCCTCTCATTATTCATGAGCAAGCTGAAAAGAATATGTGCTTCATAATTGACCACGCTCCCCAATTAAAATGTTGTCTCTTCTGTTTAGAAGCAGCTGCTGTGTATCTATAATTAATCCAGTGATATTCACATCTGGAATTATTTTGGCATTCTATTGATTGCAGTTTTGCAATTTGTTGCGTTTTTTCTACTCATGTCTGGACTAAGTATGTCCATTTAAGGGGTGTTATTATTCTGGTGTGGTAGCACGATGGTTTGCACATTTTACTTTGAACCTGCCGACCGGAATTTAATTCCCAGCCTTCCGTGGACATCAGTGGTGCATGATATTTGATCCTCGCCCTGTGGATTCATGACATAGGGCTGAAATAATGTTTAATTATTCGTACGTGTTATTTGTGAATTGGGCTTGCTACACATGATTATTAACTTAACCGTGAGCTTGTACAAGGGCCACATTTGGAATAGTCTGGAAACTGACATCACGGGGTTTCACCCGATATCCTTTAAATATCTATTTTAAATAACTATTTTACTGTGCTGTCCTCCACAGCAAAGATGAGAGAGGGGCTCACTCAGCAAATATTTTTTTTCCGAATACCACTGTAAAAGCTCAGCCAGGCTTGATAGAATTCAGTGCAAAATGGCGTTTTGCGCAGGCATTGGTTTTGGCAGATGACCAACAAATCTCCTACATAGGAGGGTCCATGTTTTACCTCGGTCTGGCGATTGTTACTTGAACTCGTGAACACATTCTTGGTTCTTTCGGTAAAGTCACGCAGAAGGGAAACAATAAAATAATACAAATATAAAACAATAAAATTCTCACGACGTTTCGACTGCAACACAAGCAATCATCAGGTGTGAAAACCACATCAAGAACATTTGAAAAAAAGTGGTGGTTCTTTTTTACGTTAGCACAACGGAAAACGATTTGGCAGTTTGTTCAGACGGACGAGTCCATCTATGTTCGGAAAAGAGGAGGGGGGAGACGAAAATAATGGATGCGGTCTGAAAGCCACCGTAAGCGTGAACAATCAATTAAGACCCGAAATGGTTTATCAAATCCTTCCAATGATTTCTAAGCCAGAATCCATCTTCTCGGTTGAAATTGTCTCTGTGTTTGTATATGTGGATAGCCTCATGAGCGAATCTTTCATGGTAGCCAGATGTCTTGCAAAGAACCTCTGTCTTGGAGACACAATTAAATTGGTTTTATGGCTTAATGTGTGTGACAAGTATATGTGTCTAAGTGCCTTCTACGTATGGTTTTCTTTGGTAAAATATTTCGGCAAGAAACATTTTTGACAATTGTTCCTTGAACATTGTGTCTGAATTCGATTGGGGTCAGTCTTGCTTGCAGTAAGCATGGCATGCCAGAGCCTTGGAATATACCGCAATTGAACTGCGAAGCCGTGAACAAAGCCCCCCCCCCCCCCCCCCCCATGGCTTTCCCATCGTCAAACGCCAATTCCTGTCAGCTCCAAAGACACGACAATTTTTTCTGAACAAGATAATTTGTGACTTGCTCTCACCAAAAGTAATATCTGCAAGGCTGTGCATGTTTGGTAGAATTTGAGCAATCACACGCAAATGTCAACTGATTTAAAAAGTACACTTTTATAGAAGTGTTGGCAATTTCGATGGGTGTCTGTAGCCACCATTATTTGCTAGACCGTTTCAGATAAGATGGATCTACAGAGAAAGCTAGTGACTGATATGGGCACATTTGGCAGTGGCATGTGGAGGGCTTGTAGGAGATGGACAGGAAACGCTATATCCGCGCTCGATGGCCTCGTTCCAACCATTCCCAACTTTGTGCCTTCAAGTTTGACTACTTTTTGATAGAGAATGTTCCTATATTTTCACACATTTGGACCATGATAAACCTGTCCGTCAGATGTAGGTCAGCCAATTCTTTTTTTCCTATCGCATTTTTTGGGAAAATTTTTCGACGGGAGGGAATTGCTTTTAACACATTTTTTTTGTAAAGTCGTACATGGATTTGTTTGATGTTTGTTCATTATTCATCTGTATGTTCCTCTAAGCCTTTGACCAAGTCACCCTCAATGCACTTGGTCTCGTCAGATATTGGAAGCTGAGCAGCATTGAGCCTGGATAATACTTGGTTGGGTGAACACAACAAGTTGCTGTAGGCTGCTGTTGGGCTAAGTGTTGGAAACCAGAGGACAGTGCAGCAAATTCCATTGATGTAGTGCACTCAATGCTCTAATATTTATGCTTTCCGCCTTCAACCTCCACTTAACAGCGTGTTGAAGTGTGGTCAAATAACTCGACCCTCATGGTTATTGATGGGTCCTAATCCAGCAGCAGAATTACAGAGCACTTCACACATGAATATTTGTAAAAAAAAAATGTTATCGTTACACAAAAAAAACCTAGTTTTAGAAAGACACAGAAGGAAATAATGTCACGTAAAAAAGCAATGAAAACATAAAATGTTTTCAACGATTATTTATTTCCCCATTTCACATGCTTATTTTTAACAGGATAATGGCTAATGCATAATTATGTTGTTTCTATTTATTGCTTGTGACTAATTTTTTTTTAAACAAAGCTATGCCAGAGCATATTACATTCTGATATTTACAGAGACCTTCAAAAACACGTTCTTATTTTAGTTGTCTCAATAGTCTGTATTCACATGTGGTTTTTGTCCCACGCAAAGAAAATGCAGTAAATGGAAACAGCACTTGGAGTCGGCTCAGTGGATGAAGTTTAAAATCGTCCAATTTGGGAAATGCTGTCGATTTGCTTTGTCCTAGAAGCCACAATCTTCACCCTTTGATGGTGCCTTTAGAGCAGTCTGCCACTTTTTTATTTCCTGAGAATTCTCCAAGCGTAGGTAAATCTTAGTAATTTGTAAGGTGTGTTGTTTCCACTGACTAAAATTGTGCACATTCATTCAGTGGTGGGTTTGGATTATAATTACATTAAGTCATTTTTGTTATGCATCTTTTTGTGCCAAGTTATTTACTCTGAATTATTGTTCTTTATCGTGCTGCACTGGTGGTTTTTATGAGTTTGTTGTTCAAAGGTTTGGCCTTTTAATGTTGACACTGTTTCTAATACCAATTTACATAGAATTTGTATTACAATTCCAACCAATTTGTATATCATTTTTTACTCATCAGGCCATTCATCTTTTTCTTGTACACTTTGTATGATTTTTTTCTGAGATAAACATAGCACTTAAACCAATCCCGAAATGAAATGTTGAATTGTGTAATGTTGGAAGTTTAAACATTTCTCTTACCTTCCCGTCTGTGCACTTAGGCATGGTTTCTTAATGCTTGGAGATCTACAGGCAATATAAAAATACACATACTCGTGTGGCATGACCAGCATAGTTGATCAGGAAGGCTTCTTTTTGCATTTCCAATCCGCTGGCGATGTGATAATGCATCCGGTTGGCAGCGACCCGGGGCAGTCTGCTTATCTACCCGTGTTGATTTTAATCCTATGAGAAGACCAGTGCTGTGTGCCATTCTCGGTAAAAGGTGGCATTGGCAAGAAAAGGAGGCATGCGCATCTATTTTTAATATATATTTTTTTCTTTTTTTTTGCTTTTCTTTCTCACAAAATGTTCTTTGTTGTTCTCGAATATCATTGTAGAAATCTGCACTGTACAGTATTTGATTCTGGGCATGTGGAGGCTATGTAATTTGTGGTTCTGAGAAATGCGTTTAAAAAAAAAAAGAGGAATTTGTTGCAGAAAATAACTTTGTGTCCTACACTTGACATTTTGAATGGGTGCGTGTCTATGGTATGTGACTGTGAGCATGGCACTGTGAAGGCACAGTGTATACAACGCTGTTCCAAACGGTTATTCGCTGGCAATTCGATTTGACGTCTGTGAATGCTGATGAAAGTTGTTTTTGTTACTCTCTTAATCTGTGGCTGCAGAAGGAGTTATGCAACATGATTCTGGACTGCTGCGCTCAACAGAGGACATACGAAAAGTTTTTTGGGCTTCTGGCAGGTGTAAGGGATACATCTACACTCCTTTTGTTCCATCTTAATTGCATACAGCACAGTTTCCATTGCAAAATGTAGTTATTTTATTGTCTTAATTGGCTCTCATTTAGTTACAGAGTTTTGTCTGTCGTAATAAAAACAAATTGCTGGTGTCATTGGAAGCATGCTGGACTTTAAATATAAGGGTCACCGGTTCGATCTACCCTGCACACCAGTTGAAACAGTGGGCAGGTATTTTAAATTTTTCTGCCTTTGTCCACGGAGCAAAATAAATAGATACACCACATTCAGTTAATCGGCAGGTCTTATGTGGTGGGATAAAGTGTAGGAACTCTCCCTCCCCTTCCAGGAGGTTTGGCCACCAAGGAAGAGTAGGCCAAAATACCCTTTAGAGGGCCTATCCATAGTTCCCTTAAGTGGAGGCCCTTGTGCCAGCAGTGGCATGAGCAAACGATTGCAGGGCTGCAACTTTTTACCTTTTACGACCTCATAACAATTATAAACATTTTTTTCCGTAGTTTTTTTTTCCATGAAACTTAATCCAATCCGAATATTTTGTTCTAAAGAAGGCGTTTTACCTTTTCCTTTTAATTGCGCTTTACCCCTCACGTAATTGTCACGCATTTCTTGGTTTCAGAGATTTTCCCTTCTGAAGAAGGAGTACATGGAGAGCTACGAGGCTTTGTTCAGGGAGCAGTACGAGGCGATCCACCGGCTGGAGACGAATAAACTCCGCAACGTGGCCAAGCTCTTTGCCCACCTGCTGTTCACCGACTCCATACCGTGGAGCGTAAGTGCCTTGCCGAACTTATTAGCAGTCCGGGGGCAGCCAGCGATTGCGATGCCACTTTTGTTATTTGTCGGACAGATTGGGTATGTGCTCCGTAATCAAGCCAACATCTGCTATTGTGCGCTGAGACTTAATGTTTTGGCGGGGAGTTCACGAGCTTATACAGTATAGAGTATGCACTTTAAAAGGCTACGTTGCACAGTAAAAAAAAAACTTGAAAACAAGTGTATGAAAGTCCCCGTGGCTAAAGTCAGATCTGACAATTAAGCCCATAGGAGGTCGCATTGTGTTAAAGAAAAGAAGCACTTTTTGAGTGAGATTTGTTGCATAGGTTGTTACTCAATCTAGCCAGTGCAGTCGCTGGAACATCAGCAAATGCTTTATTGCTTTATGGGGTTTCACAATTTTCAAATGCATTGGAAGCAGCAGCCTGGTTAACAGAGATGCACATATGCATGCTAGGGATGGACAACATTTTGAGTGCATTATGTGGCCTACATTCAGTATTTGTTATAAGTGTCATCGTGTAAAACAAATCCTAGTTAATGTTATTCACCGATTTCAACAGAGTACGCTGATAAATCTTATCAATAGAACAGGCTAAGTATACTTCTGTAATCATTTACTCAATATAAACTGCTCTAAATCAAGAGCCAAAGATATAAAAAGCTGCTTAATTTAATTCCTAATGGGGAACGACAAAGCTTAGTAATTAAATAAGTTTCAACAATGTTATTTCTTTTAAAATCATGTTAGGTGGCATAGAAAATAAATATTTACGAATGTAAATGCCATATTGAAAAAGGCTATAAATACACCAATACTTTACAAGAGTTATTCAGTAATAATAATTTAAATTCACTGGGTCTTAACTTCTTTCTCCAAATAAGACAGCTTCATTGTCTGCTATATTACTCGCCATTACATTTAAATTATTATATCTACTCTCCTAATGTCTCCTTTGAAATGTCCATAATTCTATGACTGAGCATGAGAACCAGGTTTTAAAGAGCAGAGGTGTTATTGAGTGTTTTGGTCAATGTTGATTTTAAAAAATCTAAGATATTTTTGGTATGTACTCAGTAAGATTGTATTGATGTAAGTAGTACATGTACCATGTTAGCTAATTGATCAATTGCGTGTATTGAACTTTAAATGGCCTGGCATAGAATTCATGAAATTTAAGGTTGATTGAAAAGTGGATTACTATCAAGGATAATATCAGTATATTAAAATCTATGAGTGTCAAACAGTTTTCAGCGTTTGAAATATCACACATCTTGGTACATTTACTACTTTCATAAAATGTTACTGAGTACATACCAAAAATATCTTAGATTTTTTAAAATCAACATTGACCAAAACACTCAATAACACCTCTGCTCTTTAAAACCTGGTTCTCATGCTCAGTCATAGAATTATGGACATTTCAAAGGAGACATTAGGAGAGTAGATGTAATTTAAATGTAATGGCGAGTAATATAGCAGACAATGAAGCTGTCTTATTTGGAGAAAGAAGTTAAGACCCAGTGAATTTAAATTATTATTACTGAATAACTCTTGTAAAGTATTGGTGTATTTATAGCCTTTTTCAATATGGCATTTACATTCGTAAATATTTTTTTTCTATGCCACCTAACATGATTTTAAAAGAAATAACATATTGTTGAAACTTAATTAATTACTAAGCTTTGTCGTTCACCATTAGGAATTAAATTAAGCAGCTTTTTATATCGTTGGCTCTTGATTTAGAGCAGTTTATATTGAGTAAATTATTACAGAAGTATACTAAGCCTGTTCTATTGATAAGATTTCAATAATTGTGTTATTTACATTCCCTACAGGTAACACTCTTGCACAGATACATTGTAAAGCGTCAAAGAATAACAAAAACATTATTCAGCCTTCCCACATGGGACCGCTAAGGAGCAATTGATCCATTCAGCCCTCCTACGGGAACGTACATTTTCGAGGATAGATCGCTAAGCCCCGCCCCGTTCTGCAACTGATGGAGCGTCCCGCGATTGAGTTTATTTTTCAAGCGGTTGGGAAACAACGCAACGAAAGACTGGTCGACGGACATTCGGAGAAGCTCAAATGCATGGGGAGGGAATCACGAGTCCCTCGAGAAAGTGGGAAACTGGCAGTTGCCTAGAAAAGCTAGTCGCAAGGTGTGTACGGATTTGTCCTGCGTATCGGTGTGGATCCGTGCAGTGTGGCGGCAGTGCATTGGTCGGTGACGAGGCCTATTTCAGAGTGGACGCGAAAGATCCCCGTGGCATCGTTGCTAGGAGTAGGCCGTTGTGTGCCGGCATCAGGGTTCAAATTTTGTAATTTTCGACCATGTCGTATGACTCAAGTTGGACAATACATAGCAATCATATAGCCGCCTACTGGCAAACTAATGCGCCCCCCCCTCGGTCATTCTTCATTCTTGAAAATGAGACTGTCTAGGACTATATCTTGAGTTGTCACCTGGTTTAAAAAAAATAAACTTGAAAAGTGGAGTTCGGCTCAAGAGCAACCACCAGGTGCCACAGTCACTGCGGGAGGTGAGGGGTCATCACCCATGCTTCGCACTGATGAGCCGCGGTTTTGTTAGGTATGCATTCCCCTGACTTCTTTTGTCACTCCTGGCTGCGCTAATTTAACGGCCCTGCCTTCCAATTAGGAGCTGTTGCATGTGATGATTTATTTTAGCCTTCCATTAGTGATAGCACTCGAATAGACCTGTGTGGGTTTATTGCTTGTTAGTAAACCTACGGGTTTGTTTTTATCTCACTGAAAGGGTTGCTGTAAAGGCCCGAATTGAAATATTTCTTTACAGCTGGAAAACATGAAAGGGTGCTCTTAATACGGTGGCATATATTATAAGTGAAATGGAGGCCATAAAGCTAGGAGAAGTGGGCTTCTTTTGAGATAAAAGACTGTGGTATTCCTTAGAGACTCAATTTAACCTAAATTCAACAGTTTTTTTTTTACATATTGAACCTGTTAAATTAAGCAGAACAATATTGAGAAGGGATTTTTTTTAATGAGCAGGTGCTAAATCATGTTTTGTTGCTGCACACGGAGGACGATCACATTACTCAATTGTGCACACACTCACAACATGGCTGCCGCAAGCAACACAGTGCAGTCAACATGCACATCATACATGCATACCACACGTGGAGATGACACATGCACATCATACGTGCAGATGACACATGCACAGCACAGATGCACATGACACGTGAACAGCATACATGCATGTGACAGATGCACGGCACACGTGGAGATGACATGCACAGCACAGGTGCAGATGACTCATGCGCTTAATAGATACAGATGACACATGAACAGCACACATGCAGATGACATATGCACATGACACATGCACAGCACACATGCAGATGACACATGCACATCACACATGCAGATGACACATGCACTTAATACATGCAGATGACAGATGCACGGCACACATGCAGATGACATGCAAAAAGCACAGGTGCAGATGACGCATGCACTGAATAGATACAGATGACACATGCACATCACACATGCAGATGACACATGCACTTCATACATGCAGATGACAGATGCACGGCACACATGCAGATAACACGCAAACTGCATATGTGCAGATGACGTGAAAAACACACGTGCACTGTCCACATTTACAGATGACTCAGATATATTAAATACATAGGCAGTAAATATACCTTTCTTTATTCGACAGTTGTTGAAATTTATAGAAGAAAATTATCCATATATTTAATAGTATTTGTAATAATATCAAAATACATTTCTTGATTCACTATTACTAGTAAAACAAGCTTTATTCATTATTACATACAGGGTAATGCATACGTAAACAGGTTATTGTTACATTGATACCGTATCTGGGATGAAATAACTCCATAAAATATATTCGACTATGTGAGCATATGTGCACATTAACTTTCTTGAACTTCAAACGGCACACCGAGAGTAAACCAATCATCGACGCTTTTCAAAAATACGAGTGACCGTTTGAAATTTTTTATGAATATAAATGTGACCGCATTTCAATTCCGTACAAAATGAGGAGGACATATGCATTGAGGTAATTCAAATGGCAGTTATTTTTTTATGTATTCCATTTATTTTTTTAGACAGGGAGAGAATGAAGAGTAGAAGGGGCTACTGGCAAGGGAGGGCAGGAAAACGGTCAGTTTAACACGTAGGCTTTCGCGACCATTATCATCCATAATAGAGGTTTTTTTTGGGTGAGATGGTGTTGCACATAACAATTCATTATCTGTGGTGACCATTCAATTTCACAATATATGTACATTATGGTGAATGTCGTATTTATCATACCTGCTTGGATTACATCTACCAATTACATACATTTAAAAATAAATTGATGTGTTCGTGCACGATTCAATGGCATGTGTTGTGAGCTTAAAAAAAAAGATTTAAATCAATCCATCATCACCATTCGTTGTCACGTCTATTGTAAAGGTGCAATGAAAACTCTTCAATGAAGAGAAGATGTTCACTATCGACTTGAGCAGGTGAAGGATCTCGGCAGTTTGGACAACCAGTAGGAAGGAAATTCCAGACAGCAGTGACAACACGAGAGAAGAAGTGACCCTCCCTATCACCAAAGGTTGACTGGGGATTTTTTGGCAGAAGATTGCTGGAGCAGAGAGGAAAGTGGAGGTCAATAGAGAGTCAGATGAGAAGGGATACGAAGGTTTGGGGGCGGATCAGTGGAGCATGAACGTTGCGAGGGCATTCTTAGAGTGAAGGGATCTTAGGATCAAGGGGATGTGGCCTTGTTTACTGATGCAGGTGAGGAGTCTTGCAAAGGCATTCTGGGGCAATTGGAGTTTGGAGGTGAAGGATTTTTGGGAGGCCGTAAAGCACAGCATTATATTAGTCCAGTCAAAGATACGAAGGCGTAGATACGGGTTTCGGCAGAAGATAGTGCGAGACAGTGTTTGATGCAGGAGGTATTGTGTTTTGCAGGAAAGAGAGTAGTCCTGCAGAGTTGAGAAATGTGGGAGGGGAATAATGGCTCAGGATCATTGCCTCCAAATGTTCAGGCACTTTGCCAGCTTCATGGCAAAGTTTAAGAGAAACACACTTCAGCTGTTATGGTTATTGAGCTTGGACCTCTTGCTTATGAGGAGGACTCCTTTAGGTATTGCCAATGTTTAGCTAGAGTAAGTTTCAACCATAATCAGGAGATTCAGCAGCGTCAAAGCAAAGTGCGAGGGTCGACGTTGTAATGGGGTCTATGGTTGTAAGAGTGTCGTCAGCATAGAAATTGCTTGTGAACGTTGAAGGTTGGAGGTGATTTCTTTCTTTGTAGGTGGTAAATTGAGAGGCGGAACAGACTTAGGGTGGAACCTTGTGGAATACTGTAGCAAAAAATACTATATGGCTTGCATGGAAACATAGTAGGACCTGAATAAGAAGTACAGTGTAAGTGAACTGAATAGGAGGAATTTTCTGAAAATTCGTACATACTTTTAAAGGCAGTGAAAAAGCGTATAGTGGGTGCTGTCAAAAGCAGTTGAGGTCTAAGAGAACAAGGAGGGATTGAGATCTGCAGTTCGATAAGAGGTGGACATAATTTTCCATGCTCAGGTTGGCAGTCTCAGCCACAGTGCCCTTTTTAGTGGCATATGTTTTTTTTATTAAGTGACGTCTTTAAAATCACAATAGCCTGGTCACCTGAGATTGATTCCTGACCATGGCTAACATCAGTGGCGAGTGATATCTAAACCGCTCCTGGCCTCGCCCTCCCAGTCTCCTTTCACCAACGTGGCGAAATGTGGCTGACATGTGCATGGGGCTTTTATGCAGCAGTGGATTGACAGAGGGCTGATACAATTTTGGTGCATATTTTCATTCACAATTGCGGTGTATAGCGTACTCTTCTAAAGGTATTGATACTTTGTCCTGGTGATGAATGAGTTTGCCCTGGAACATGGGCATTCCAATTCACAATTAACACGACGTTTATGGAAACGATTGACGTGTTTTACGCGAGGCATTACTGCAGCCTGCTATCGGCTGAGCATTACAGTCACTTGCAAAATAACATATTCGGTGAGGAACTACTTAAATGACATGACATGCTTGTTAAAACAGAGAACATTTTATTCAGTAGATTAATTTACACGTAATATATCATTGGTGAACTAATTGTGTGGTTTGTCCCCTATTTTATTAAATCCCTCAATCCGCTATTTACTCTTACCGTTTTCTATTCGTTAAATGTAGGCAGAACATAAGTAATATATGTAAAGCAGACAGCATTGTCAATATTTTTTTTTATGAAACTGTTGCAAAACACTCGGGCATCATAATTGATCATTAGCACCTAAGAGACTTTGAGTAGGTAGACGATACAGGTTTGTTAGCTAGGATCTTGACTTTGGGGCATTGCACATTTTGGCATTTAGGTACTAAGGCTCAACAATGTAGTGGGTGAGCTTTACATAAACAAAGTTGCCAGTGGTTCATGTACCTTTGTATGTACATATGTTGAACTTCTTTCGCACCGTACATAGCCAACCATGCTCATCGGAGGTGCAGGGTAAAGACAACAAACAAAACACAGCTCTAAATGAAATAAGATTTTTAAAGTGCATCGCTCCAGTGGCTTCCTAATATCGGATGGAAGAGCGTTCCAGACGGACGCAGAAGCGCACCTGAAAGCGCGCGATGCGGTGACCGTCTTTCGTTCAGTGGCCGGCCAAAAGCCGCTGTGAATATGACCGGAGTTCAAGAGATGGTTTATGCTCCTCGACGAGATCAGCAGGGTATTGTGGTTCATTTGTGGCAATAATTGTTTGTGTCACGAGTACGACCTTATAACGTATTCAGTTGGCAACTTGAAGCCACTGCAGCTTGGCGAGCACTGGATGGACATGGACGAATCTTGCAGTACCCGTCGCGGCAAGCGCCAGAGAATATTGTACACGCTGCAGCTTGCTAATGTTTTTGCCGGATGTCCCGTAGAGTAGTGAGTTGCATTAATTGAGCCTTGTCGATACTTTGCTAGATGCCACCCGTATTGGCTATGTCACGACTCAACAGTGGTCAAATGTGTCCGAGGGCTCTGATATGAAAATTGCATATCAGGGCTATTCACAGGTGTCAGGAGAAAGTGAAACATGTGATGGTAAAAAGAAGACTATATTGAGCTCGTAATGTGCATTAACCCAGCATGTGGTGGGAAGGAGATCAACAGGCATATTATATTAGTACGGCAGGTTATTGATGTAGCATATACACTTTCTAAAGAATAGAGATCTCGGCTTGAGTGATAAGACATGGACGTGTGCGTTTGGAGTAATGGGTTTCCTCTTGTGTGTGGGGGGGAGAGATGTGTGGATTTAACAAGCGGACAAGAGGGAAATGCTTTTCACCTTTGAACACAGTGCATGAAGGGGGGGGGGGGAATGCTTAAAATGTCATGGCAAGAATCGTGGTAAGCAACTGGAAAGTTAAATATAGGACATGGCACAAAAGAATTGAGATAGTGTCATAAAGAGCAGTTTGAATCACTTGTGCGTTGCTGAGACTGGTGTTGGAGTGTGGCTCCCGTGGTTCTGCAATCAAGAAGACCTGAAGCCAGATTGTGAGATACGACAAAAGCAGTTATAAGAGGTCCGATGGAGGCTTTGCAACTGCTTTCAAAAATATCAGAATGAAAGAAGCAATGTGTTTGACCCCCCGTGACCTTCGGGCGCTGCAGTGACAAGATGTTATATCCCTCGCCTGGTATACAGGAGGTTGTGGGTTCGATCCCGACCTTGGCGCCTGTATATTTGGAGTTTGCGTGTCCTTCCTGTGGCCGCGTGGATTTTTCCACCGGTTTTTTTCCTCCATGTTTAGAAAAATGTGTTTAGATTATTTGGCTGCGAAACATTTCTGCATGATAAACCACTCAGTGTCGCTATCATTTTAGCCAGGTCGCTTCTGGAAAAGAGCTATTTTAGCTCAGTGGGCCTTAGCTGGCAAAATAACATAAAAAGTAAGTTTTTGATCTTGACCAAAGCTTTTTTCCTCGTTCATACATCCACGTGAACTTTGCCTCACATGCTCGCTCGCTTGCTGGTTATGCTTGCGATACCTTCTCATTTCCCCCCTACCTTTGATAATTAAATGTAAAACTTCTTAAATATTTTTTTCCCCGACGCTAAATGGAATTTCATTAAAATTGACTGCTCTCTTTGTTAATTTAAAACAAGGTTAATAGAAATAACTCGTTTTATACTCGCGGAAGTTTGATGGAGAAAGGCTCTCCTTGAGAAATGTCGGCTTTGATCTTTGCAATTTATTTTTTTAGTAAGCATTACAATACCCACACTTAGACAATTGTTGCCTTTGTTACAAGACTATGAATATTTTTTCAGTGTTGGCAATTATTTCGATGGGTTGTAATTGTCAGCAGGGTTATTGAATCCTTGGGGGGATCTTTGTTTACTTGGGTGACTCCCTTTGGTTTTGTCACCAGCAGCAAACGGATATGATGCGCTTTCAGATGCCTTTCTGCGCTATGAACTTTTACATCTCGATTGAAAAGCTCATTTCTTTACAACTGCTTTTGTATTCTTGGTTCTTTCGAACATAGATGGACTCATATTCTTGGTTCTTTCGGTAAAGTCACGTTGTTTCCCTTCAACGTGACTTTACCGAAAGAACCAAGAATATGAATCACTGCAGTCACGAAAGCTTTAAATCAAAGTAGATGGACTCGTCCGTCTGAACAAACTGCCAAATCGTTTTCCGTGGTGCTAACGTAAAAAAGAACCACCACTTTTTTTCAATTTTTCTTGCTGTGGTTTTCACACCTGATTGTGATTGCTTGTGTTGCAGTCGAAACGTCGTGATAATTTTATTGTTTTATATTTTTATTATTTTATTGTTTCACTTCTACGTGACTTTACCGAAAGAACCAAGAATATGAATCCCTGCAGTCACGAAAGCTTTAAATCTAAATTTAACTGCTTTTGTGTTTAGTTTGTTGTCCTTTCCCCGCACCTCCGATTAGCACAGTTGGCTACGTGTGGTGCGAAAGAAGTTCAACAATTATACATGCACGTGGCGGTGGGGAAAAGTGTTGGTACCATTATATTTTCTCACTAGGGATGGGAAATCCGATTACCTAAGTTATCAATTACTCGACTAATCTGATGACAGGAAAATAATTGGGGGGAAAAGTCTCACTTCTGTTCCCATACCGTGCCACTGGATGGGAGGAAATGGACTGGTCTTGTTGATGTTATCAGTATCATCTGTATCACGCTGGGCATGGCTGTTTGACAGGAGGCTCGATGTTGTCCGGCAGCACCTGGGCAATCGACCACAAAAAAAAGTTAATGGTAATTTTTTTGTATATTCATTAACTTAATCGGCTAATCATCCAAACTAACGTAACATATCCGGCGAGTAAAGAGTAGGCCAAACTATCCTCAATGTAAAGGCTCCGTGCCTACACTTGTACAAGTGCTCTGTCCAAATGACCGCTGGCAATGTCAACGGCAGTGGATAGACAAATGGCTGCTGCTGTTGATGACAATGATAGTTGACTGAACCAGTAACATTTTGTTTTGATGGCGGGTTTATCAACCCATTTCTCTTCGTCCGTTTTCCTGCAGGTGCTGGAGTCTGTGGTTCTCAGTGAAGACACCACCACATCCTCGAGCCGTATTTTTGTCAAGATCCTTTTTCAAGAGCTTTGCGAATACATGGGACTTCCACGCCTCAACACGCGCTTAAAGGACGAGTGAGTGATCACTGCGCTTGATATATGAACTGCAGTATGAAAGTACTAGACCAGTAAATCCTGTTCATAGACAGTCGATGCGTAGTTCACTTTGGCTGTGACAAGTACTCTGCCTTGGGTTTCACAGCTTCACATGTGCAATCCATTTACACCGTAAAAATTTGCTGTAAAGGCCGACCGAAATTCGGTTTCGGTTCCGAAAGTTGGCAAATGGCCTCTTTCGGCATACTTTCGGTTTCGGCCAAAAGTCAATTTTTCACTTTCGGGCTGGTTTCGGTTTTGGCCGAAACCAGAAATTCAGTTTCGGTCACCCTCTAATTTTCTGTATACTGTGCAGTATATTAATTAGTGTTGCCACGTGTTAACTTGTAATGGGATTGAAAATTTAACGCGGTAAATGTCTGTATTTAACCGAAGCTACCGTCGTGAGCCACTCCTGGGTACAGCTGTGCTGTGAAGTCGTGGGGTATTTCGGTCTTTGCTTCTGTTGATGCTTGTCGATTTAAATTGAGCGTGATTGCACACTGAATTGATTCCTTGTAGCTACTCTCTATATATATAAATTTCCACAGGACAAAAAATATATCTTGACACACTAATATACAGCTTGCTTGTATTGCACAGCAAAATTCATAATAAATATAACGTTTTTTTTTAAATATTCAACCAATAAACAGTGCCAATTTTTACACTCTTAAAAAAAACCAACCCAAGTATCATGTAAAACTGTAAGATGTAAAAACGTGTTTTCATTTAGGTGCAACACTTGGGTAAACTAAAAGGTGGGGGGGGGAGCAATTTTACAATCGGCGCGTATTGATTAGGCGCGCGTGTTGTATTGGTTTGTTGTACTTTCGTCCGAACTGCGTTTAATGGATTGCGACCTCTCATTTCCCCACAGAACACTGCAGCCGTTCTTTGAAGGGCTCTTTCCACGGGACAACCCACGCAACACCAGATTCGCCATCAATTTCTTCACCTCCATTGGGCTCGGGGGTCTCACGTAGGTCCTTTTGAATTTCGCACCTCCCGCTTTGACCTCCGGGTGCGCGCGTGGTTGCGAGGTTGCCAAGCCGCCTCGCGCCGCCCGGCCCCATTTAGTAATGTGGCGCGTCCAGCTGGCTTGCGCTGAACGTTGGGAGGCAGAAAATTGGCTTAATAGATCACATCGCTACGTGCGGAATGTTTGCTTCGGCGTGGCGAGCAAAATTGAGAACGGCGAGAATTTTCTGCCCGCTCTTCTTGGGAATGAATATCGATCGGTGTTGCCTTCGAAGTGTTTCATTCACTGCGCAGACATTGAGTCGTGTTTATTTCGATGCGTTTCTTACAGCGACGAGCTGCGCGACCATTTGAAAATCGCCCCCAAGCTGATCATGGCCCAGCGCCAGGAGGTCGAGTCCGACACCTCGTCCTCTTCATCCTCGTCATCCTCGGACGAGACGGACGACACAGACGACGATTCTGACTCGTCCTCTGACGACGACGTCGACTCGTCTTCGGGCTCGGGCAGTTCCGGCAGCAGCGAGAGCACCGGCTCGGCGGACTCTTCCAGCGAAGAGGAAAGCAGCAGCAGCAGCAGCAGTGACTCAGGTGCAGAGAGCGGAACCGGCCACGGCTTAACCCTTTCCCGTTCCCAGACGTCGCGCAAGTTGCAGGGTGGGTGGGTCCCGTTCGCCGCTGAATCTCTGAACACACAAAGCGGTTCAGGGTTAATCTTATTTCTAGAGGCGCGGAAGCGCCGTTGTTGTTAAAAGACGTTGTCACTCGCCGCGAAGAACCGTAGCGACACGACTGCCACACTCTACGATGGCTGGCGCCAAAACTGTGCCACCACGCCCCCCCTCCCGCGTGCCGTTTTACTTCCGATTTCCGTTCGGATTCGGTTCCGTCATCAGAACGTAATCGTAAAGAACAACAACTGATGACGTACACGTACGTCGTTGCAACGCGAAAGGGTTAAAACATCGCACTTTCATTGCCACACGTGCCCCCCCCACCCACCCACCCACCACCCCACCACGGGAAGGTTTTTGGTGAAGTGTCACAGTGACGGCTCTCTCGTGGGACATTATTTGTGAAAGGCAGCTGGGATAGGCCCAGTGCGGTCTACACCAGTGAATTACCAGAGCACTCGTCGGCAAACGTTGAGGATTGCGTCACATCGCGGGCCTTCTTTTGCACCCGCGTCGAACGTCAAATGTGAAATGTGCAACCGAGAAATGAAAATGTATGATAATAATAATAATAACCACCTCGAGGTAAAAATGGTAATTGCCTTTCGCCATGTTAAATAAAAGGGCATTAATTACAACCTATCTACGTGACTTTACCGAAGGACCCAAGAATATGAATTCCTGCAGTCACAAAAGCTTTAAGTCGAGATTTACAAACAAATACGTTTTAGTAATTATTTCCATGTTCGGAAAGACTTGAGGGAATACATTCTTGTTATTGCTATAAAAATGCTTGGCTAATAGTATTTGCTATACTCATTTTGATGGGTTGCATTGCATTAGGCCATCATGAAAGAGGTGCTACCATTTACTATTGCTAGATGCACATGGAAGCAGTTACACGCAATGCACATGATGAATGTGTTTTAAATTGCATGGCATTTAAGTAGGATGTGCAGCTCTTTTTAACAGTGGGAGCATCTGTTGTGTGTTTTGTACGTAAAAAATAACAGCAAGAAACATTTCCCAGACAATAATGACTCCTAACTTTTGTAAGGCTTTTTTTTTCCTTATGTCCCATACGCCAAGCAGTGCATCCTCGCATTCAGTCATCAAAAGTGCTGGCTTCTCTGTATCAAAAGCTCTTATTACGTGTGCCCTTCTGAAATCTTCAGTAAACACTATTGCGGTCCAAACCTCAGTCTGGCTGCATATTTTAAGCAAAACCTTAACAACGTGGAATTCTGATTTAAAGCTTTCGTGACTGCAGTAATTCATATTCTTAGTTTTTTCGGTAAAGTCACGTTGAAGAGAAACAACAAAATAACAAAATATATATAAAACAATAAAAAAAAAAATTCTCACGACGTTTCGACCATAACTCAAACGGTCATCATCAGGTGTGTCGGTTTGCATAAATTTATTTTGAAAACGGCATATTTATTTATATATATAAAAATAACGTTTGCGTCACGCGCAACGATGGCAGTTTGCCAGGACTAGTCCATCTATTTTTTGAAAAGAGGAGGGGGGAGACGAAATTTGTTTTTATGTATGCTGTCTGAAAGGCACTGTAAGCGTGAACAATCAATCAAGAACTGAAATGATTTATCAAATCTTTCCAATGATTGCTAAGATAGAATCCATCTTCTCGGTTGAAATTGTCTCTGTGTTTGTATATGTGGATAGCCTCATGAACGAATCTCTCATGGAAGCCATCTGGCTTCCATGAGAGATTCGTTCATGAGGCTATCCACATATACAAACACAGAGACAATTTCAACCGAGAAGATGGATTCTATCTTAGCAATCATTGGAAAGATTTGATAAATCATTTCAGTTCTTGATTGATTGTTCACGCTTACAGTGCCTTTCAGACAGCATACATAAAAACAAATTTCGTCTCCCCCCTCCTCTTTTCAAAAAATAGATGGACTAGTCCTGGCAAACTGCCATCGTTGCGCGTGACGCAAACGTTATTTTTATATATATAAATAAATATGCCGTTTTCAAAATAAATTTATGCAAACCGACACACCTGATGATGACCGTTTGAGTTATGGTCGAAACGTCGTGAGAATTTTTTATTGTTTTATATATATTTTGTTATTTTGTTGTTTCTCTTCAACGTGACTTTACCGAAAAAACTAAGAATATAACGTGGAATTCACCGATATTCTGTATTTAAGGAAATACAGAACCACATTAATAATGTGTTACATAGAATTTAAAGTGGGCTAGTTTCGTAAAAATATATATCTATACTGTTGCGCTCAAGTGTGGGTGAACTCGCCAGCAAGCTTTTATTTTCGAACAGTTTGAAGACCGCAACTTAGATGGAGACAGTTAAATGTTATTCGTTGCTTGTCAGTGCGGCAGTAGTTGATGAACGGCGACCTGCCAAAAACCTACAGCGTTGCAGCCTTGTTGCTGTTTTTTTTTTGCGAGCGGCGATGTTCCGGTGGTGCGAACGGGGAAACGTTGGCCATGGCTCAGCTAAGCTTTAAAAAAAAAAAATCGCCAGTATAGGTTTATCAAATGGCAGCACAAACAATATTTACGTCCTCGTAAAGGAAATGCTGAGTTTGCCCTCGGGGTGCTTCAAAGCAGATTTACTCTTTCTGTCGTAAGTCATTGAGCAGCGAATGACCCTTTCCCCCTCGCTGAGGGCCAGTGACAAACACGGCACTCGGCCACTCCACAGACCCCTGAGCCCTACATGTTCATATTCACGTCTTGGATATCATTCTGTAGGCACTCCTTGTTAAGTGAGTTAAGTGTCACATATGAAGGTTGTTGGTTAGTAATAACGTAGCATAAACGCTGTGTCCAGTACAAAGCTGGCATGGTGCCGTGGAATTAATTTTGTACCCATCACGCGACAATTGAGGAGGTGTAGCAAGCCTCACACTGAGTGAATACGGGGGCTCTCTTTGCCCCATTATATTCCTGGTCCCATGCCCCATGCCCTAATTTTGTAACCCAGCAGGCAAGCAAATTATTTTGACTGCTGGGTTGTCCTTGTCTGCATCGCCTCCAATGGTTGCACTGTGGGGTCACACTGTGAGCTTGATTGAATATAATTGTAACGGCATTCTGACAGTGACTAAAGATCTCTGAACAGAACCATCTATCATGTTAGCAGCTCCGGTCGTCGCTGTGGCCAGCACACGCCACGCTTCGTCTTTAGAACTCAGTGTTTTGCCGCTTCTCCTAAGCTGTGCGAAATCTCGGCAACAAAAAAAAAACACTTCAACCCATTTTATCTCGCTGGGTTTAGCAACGGATTACAGCAATGCACATGTGGAATGACTGTTCCATCTCCAAGGCATTGAAGCGCGTAGAATTATTTTTTGTTAATAGCTTGTTGCAGCTCCAAGGAAAACATGTAGCTCCCGTAAAAGATAATGATTAATAAAATCCTGACGCCCGCTATTAAGGAGTCCCCCCCCCCCCCCCCGATCGTCAGCCGCTGACCTCGAAATGCTAACGAGCTTATTTAAGTAATGAATGTGTGAAAACACTAATTGCATTACGAGAAATATACTGCTACTTTAAAAAAAGTGTAATTAATTCTGCATTTTTCTTATTACATTCGTTGATATCCTTTTGATGTCAAGGAACAAAAATGATTGTAAGCTGTCATTTAAATTGCTTGATACATTTACCTTGACATTTTAGATTTTTATCTATTTATTGAGCAATTATGTTCACCTAATATTTCGTCATTCTGAGCATTGTGCGTTGAAATTAATGTAGGAACTATATTTGATGTCTACTAAATTCGTTTCTAAATTATGCAATCATACAAAATAAACTTTGGAAGGGATTGCATTTAGATATTCTAGTTGCTTACAAACTAAGCAATGTAACCATGTGCAATTGTCAGGGGTGTTATAATTGTACCACAATGCATTCATTAAACATGTTTCAGGATGCATACAGTGGCTGTGAATTGGTGAGTTCAGTGGGGGAATTCACTTTTTTTCTTTAAAAATGGCTATAAAGTGTTTTAACGGGCTGGGAAATGTCAGTAGATGTTCAAGAAAAACGGCATTGGTGTGCAAATAAAGTTGAAGATATTTCACGTATTATCTGTGTCAATGGTTAAATAAATATAGGGGACGTTTTGACGGTTTGTAAATAAGAGGATCACAGAGTGAATGTCTTCCTTGGTTTTGAACAGCTGGGATTTATAATGCCAAATGGCAGGGCCATTTCTCAAACAATGAGCTCCCTAACAGTTCAGGGTGGATGTCATTTTTGCAATAAGTCACGTAGAGTTGGGTGGCTTTTTGCATTAGTCATGCATATAGAATTCCACAAACAGGGAATCTAAATTCAACATTTCTCTAATCCAAATGGAAACAAAGACCGTGCATGGTGTGCAATGTCAACAAATAGGTACGTTTAAGAAAATTAACTTTCCGTCTTCCTTTGACCTTGTGATAATCCTTGGAATAGAAATGTGTGAAAGTTAATGAGCACCAGGTGTTGGGCCTTAGGCAGCCTATATCCCATCCTAATGGGCTGTGGTGGTTTGCACTGCCCCGGTGCGCACGTGCCGGTGGCTTGTACAAATTGAGCAGCTCGCCTCACTTGCTCGGCCTCTGCCGACATCTGTGAAAAAGGACATTTGGACATTTGTGAAAAAGAGCTTCATAGCTCGTCGGATTTCTCCAGCATAAAGATTTCGATTATAAGCTGCGGCCGCCTCCCAGATGTAGAATTTGCATAAGCACAGGGCCTGCGTTACCATTTCACTTAGAAAAAGCAGTTAATGCCGTTTTAAGTGCCGTCTGCTAATGAGCCCACAATGCGTATTATTTTGTATTATTGTCCTCTCTTGCCCGTGCTTTGACCGACTTCTTTAATGGACAGCATGATGACTGTGTAAATGAAGTTGTTTTTCCCGTGATAAATTTGTTTATTGTTGCCAGCCAAAGTTTGAATTTGGCTTGCATATATTTTTCACAAGGCCATTGAGTCGTATCAAATTTTAAATGCACTATTATTGCTTTCTTATCGGCCTTTAGACAGCCCAAGAGTGTCACCTGCATTGTGTTGGCTGTATTTTCAATTGCGACTGCATATTAACGTAGCATGCACCACCGGCACCAATATCGTTGTCATACTATGAAAATAATTCCTGGACCTTGCAAAGAAGAAATCGACAAAAACATTAACCTTTCTTGAAGCTCAAATGTACCTTGATGGTTTATAGCACGAACTGTTCCTTTTAATAAGTCCATTATAATATTACTAGGGGTTGTTCGGGGGCACCTACGGTGCCCGAGCACAAACATTTAAGGCCTTCGGCCTTCGGCCAGGAAATTCACGAAAAAAATTGCGCTCGAACGACGCATTCACGCAAACACCCGATGCTCCATTTTGAAGTTTTAAAATGAAACATCTTTGAATTGTATTATGTTTTGAATTTGATAATTGTATTTCTTCATTAAAAGCTTATATAATTTTACATCTGGAAGACTTAATTGAAAACGACATTTCGTGTGACTTTTCTTTCGTCGTTAAGTAGATGGCCTTGCTTGGGGTTCGGTTCGATGCGGACTTTCACCCGTTTGGGATTGCGGGATCGAGATAAGGCGACAGAGCTGCTGGCCGTGCGAGAAGACCGCCGTCTGCAGATCGATTTTAACGTAATCGAGCGTCTGTCCCTGCGCCTCCGTCGTTCATGCAGTGGGCGTGTGTAGGTTTGCAGCGCCCCCTGCATGACAACGACGGAAAACGCAGCGTTCGTCATGGATAGATAAAGTTGTGCGCTTGTTATAATATTATTTTAAAAAAATGCACATTCTTATCTTTAGTTTTTTTTATGTTAAGCTCTCGGTGTTGATGTTTCCCCACCCCTTTTTCAATTGCTCTTTAACTCTTATGCGCCTCAATTTCCTCACTTCATGTTCTGTTTGTCCTTTCATGCGTGCTCCCGCTTGACTGTTGTCTTGCCGTTAATTTTGCTCATTGGTTATCGTCCCGCTCCAGCAGCGTGGTCCCGTCAAAGTTAATTTGTTTTTCATGATACATTTTGTAATCTAAACTCAACGAAACTTTTTCTTTTTTAACCAGGCAAGCCCCATGAGCTATTTATCTCTTTTTTTTGTCAGAAACGACCTGGCCACAAATGATAGCTCAACGAAGTGACTAAGCACGTGGAAAATTTCTAGCACGTGATATTTCTTCACACCTTCGATGAGCACAAGTTGGCTATGTACGGTGCGAAAATAGTTCAGCATACATACTGTAAACGAATATTTCTAAATGTGGAGAGAAAAACCGGAGAACCTGGAAAAAAATCCACGTGACCACAGGGGGAGCACATGCAAACTCCAAATATACAGGCATTGTCAGGGTCGGGATCGAATCCACGACCTCCTGCATGCCAGGCAAGGTAGTTATTATCTCGCCACCGCAGCACCAAATCAGTGGCTGCCGTCAAATTTGAGGCTGCAGCTGATGTTTTCCTTTTAATGACAACGCTAAAATGTTCAGCCGGGAAAGTGACTGATGACCTTACGGAGAGAGCACCTCGGAAGTTAATAACGCGGCTTCTTGACGAACTCTGCCATTGCCACATGATAAGCAGTAACCTCCACGTTATGCCAACACATTGTTCGTGAATTGATCAAGTGAACTTTTCTGCAGACCATTACGAAATGCCTCTGAATTTTCTGAGGCACTTTAACACTGCTCCAGGAAAATCCAATAACCGGTTCAACATTGCCACAATTCGGTGACGGAGGCTCAAGAGTTGAGTGAATTGACGAACGGCCGATGGCAAGTTTTCATTTTGGGTTAAATAAAATGTCAAATTTTTTAACTTCATTTTTTTACATGGTGCAATACAATAAGATTATGGAGTTTTTCAGTACGTTTTATAAATGTCAACATAAAATGAAATATTGTGCCATAAAAATCAAACCTGGCATATCTCCTGGCCTCTTGTTAATATTACAGTTATATTTCTGCTTTCCGCGCCATTTTGTTTTTGTTTTCATAAATTAGACTTCTAATCGCTGTTTTGACGTATTGGGGCTTCAGAGGATCAATACTGCATCCTAATGATGCTTCAGCAGGAGGTTTCATCATTTCGCAGCACAGAGTTTATATTGACAACTAGCCCAATATATAGTATTTGCCCAGGGCTATTACATTTTGGGAACATTAAAGCTTTCCATTCTGGATGCCATTTATATTGTTGCTCACGTGGTGATTTGAAATTGACTAAACTATCCATGAACATTTTTTTTGCATTAAGTGTACATGTTAGATTGAAGTTATTTTGAGTCAAATGGTGCATGAATTTTTATTTTTAGAACGTGCGCAACACTGCTGTATAGTCTTTCTTGGCTTATGTGAGGAGAGAAAATGCAACTGCACCCATACTTCCATGCTTGAGTAGTTAAATGTCACTGCCCAGTGTGTGTGGTACCTTTAAATGGTCTTTCTTCTCATTAGAACACCTTTTGTCATTAAGAATTATTTTAATATGCCGTGGTGACATTTTCAGCGAGTCTGCATTGTGATCGATTGCCCAACTGAAATGAACCAATGCCAATAATAATTATAATCGGCAGGAGAATTTCTAAATTTAGAAATTGCATAGTTATGGCTGCAATTAGCTTTAATCAACCCGGGGCGTATTTGTCATCATCATGACTACATTAAACATTTCCAGAAGATTCTTAAGTCTCTGTTAATGCATCTATGTTATACGTGCAGATTTTTTGTCGGAGGATCCATGATCCGCGCGTGTACCCTCTTCTGTCAAGGTGTGATGGGATGTGTTATGGCAAATGTTATAATACCTTAGATTTCTTTGTCACTCATTTGTTCTGATCCTTGTCATTTCGTTTCACGACAGATGACACGAGTGCCAGGAAAAAGAGAAAAGGTGGAAAAGAAGACAAGCAAGTCTCCGGAAAGGGGAAGGCTCAGAAGAAAGATGCGAGCCAAACTAAGAGGACGAGTAGACGAGGTAGGGAGGGCGATGAAGAGACCTCTCAAAGAGGGGATCGTAGGCAAAGAGAGGCGCAGAGAAGTGAGACAAATCGGGAAAGAGGAGAGAGGGGCGGCGATGCAGAGAGGAAGGAGAAGCAGAAAAAACGCAGGGGTCACAGCGGAGAGACGAGCACCAAAGCAAAGCGTGGCGGCAGAGACGCCAGCCCTGATGGGAGACGCGGAGACTCGAGCCAGGAGAGGGATGTCACAAGGAAGGATGGTGGTCGAGTCAAAGGTGCCGATCAAAAGGGAAAGAAAGATCAAAGCAAGGATAAGGGCAGCAACAGGCCGAGCAAAAGCGACGACGGGCAGAAGCATAGAGGTCGAGAACATGGCAGCAGTGCAAGCCCACAAATAAACGATGAGCATCGACGGAGAAAGACGAATCAAAGTACAGATGAGGAGCACGAAGAACCAAGGAAGTCCAAAAGACATGGCAAGAAGAAGAAGAAGAATGATCAAGCAAAGGATGACGTACAGCCCGGACGGAAACCAAATCGAAGCGACGGCAAAAGGGCCCGTCATGACACAAGCGATGAGGATGAGGAGGAGGACATGCAGAGAAGCAGAAGACGTAAGAAAGCTAGTGATGAGAAAGAGAGGAATGATGATGATGATCGTGGAAGGCATGAAGGAAAGAAAAGTAATCACAAGGCAGATGGAAGTGGGAAGAGATCTGGCAGACCTGAAGAGAGAACTGACAAACGAAAGGAGCATGACCATTCCAGTGACATGTCCATGGAAATGGACGGGGGAAGACAAAAAAAGAATTCCAGAGAAAATAATCACGTGAAGGTGCAGGAGACAGCCAGGAACATGTCCCCAGAACCCTTTCGAGACCGATCCCAAGACAGGCATAGGGACAGAGCTCCAGTGGGAACTCGGGGTGGATCTCAGGACAGACACCAGGACAGATTTCAAGACCGACGTAGGGACAATTCAGAAGAAAGACACATAGACGGATCGCAAGAGAAACAGAATACATTTCCAGATAGACATCAAGAGAGATCCTCAGACAGACGCAAGGATAAATCTGCAGACAGACGCAGGGAGAAATCTCCAGAGAGGCGCAAGGAGATATCTCCAGAGAGACGCAGGGAGAGATCTCCAGAGAGACGCAGGGAGAGATCTCCAGAGAGACGCAGGGAGAAATCTCCAGAGAGACGCAAGGAGAGATCTCCAGAGAGACGCAAGGAGAAATCTCCAGAGAGACACAGGGAGAGATCTCCAGAGAGACGCAAGGAGAAATCTCCAGAGAGACGCAGGGAGAGATCTCCAGAGAGACGCAGGGAGAGATCTCCAGAAAGACGCAGGGAGAGATCTCCAGAGAGACGCAGGGAGAGATCGCAAGACAGAACCAGAGACAAGGGTGAGGCAAAAGGAGGCAGCAAAATTGATAGCCGTTTGAGCAGCAGGAAAGCAAGAGATCAAGAGAGGTCACGAGAGAGGGATCACCAGGGCAGACCCCGCAAAAGAGAACGTGACAGTTCCCACGATCGCGATCGCCGCAGCTAGGAAAACATTCTTAAATATTTTTGTGAAAAGTTGTTTGCCTTTGTAATACCGTCACATCGTTATGCTTAAAAAATGTGATAACCTAAACACGTTTATGTAAAATATTTTGTCATGTTCTTTGATATCCGAATGCATTCGGAAGTTTTTAGGGATGATGGTTGACATTTGTTGTGAATATCCTCGTGAAAAGGGGGTGGCTTGCAACGACTGCGGGCCTAACTTTCACATTACCCTGTGACGTCTGTGTTTCCCCCCTTCCCCTTCTCCACATGTTACCATAATAAAGAATTCTTAAACATGTCCTTGCTTTGCGAAAACATCACTTTCGCACACTACTGAGTGACACAGCCGACCCTTCTGACCATACGGCAAAAAAAACAAATGAGGTAATCTGGTCGTGCTGGAGGGCAATTGGAAAGAAAGTGGGTGGTCGAGTCCAAGATCGCAGTCTCTCTTAGCTTGTAAAGTGACCATTCTCGCCCTTGACATGCACCTAGCCTCATTTTGTTGGCCTCTTCCATGCGATTCAAAACTGGTGACAAAATGATAGCAATTTAACAGCTGAATCTTTCATCCCGTTTACCGTTGTGCTGGAGGTGTTTTTTGTTCACAGCGTACAATGGAGAATGCTTTTGTATTACCTTGTGTGTGCACAGTGTCCTGCACGACATTTCGTTGTCAGTTGGTGAGGCGTTGACAGCTTTTGAGAGACGAGTGGAGATGAAAAGCTAAATGCAAATAAGATTTATAATTCACAGAAACCATCTGGACACCCTAGTCCTAGGGTCAATTCCGTAGACTCATCCTGTCACGACGTCGTGCTATTGTGCCTCTGTTGATGGCTCCCTCGACTGCAATATAATGTCCATAAAATTGACATGCATTGCTCAGACATAGTATGGCGAAGGTATTCATTTTCTGCGTGTTAAATTGTTAATGTACATTGCTCTCTTGATTACGAAAATAATTTCCTGTAATTATTAAATTCTCACAGCGCCCGCATTTGATGCCGCTTGTCCACTTCAGTAATGCCTCAGTGCATCAATGGCTAATTATACAATGGAGTGTGGTGTTCGATATCATATTGACTATGAAAGCCAGTGCACGTGGGTTTTCTATAATATCATTATTGATTGTGTCCACGTAAGGTCGCTGATTGGCTCGTGCTGCAGAAAAAAGGTCAGCCTTTTATTAAGCGGCTTCGAGTATTACCATAGAAGATGCACATTAACATGATCACCAATACGTCCATTCACTCTATTGCATATAGACATTGTGTACATGCACGAAATTCCGTTATCACCGAGTTTAATTGCAATGTGAATCTTGATGTGTAAACCCACAATAAGAAAAATAAAATTAGTCCATAGCACATTATGTACAGCACACGTTCTGCAAACCATTTTGTTGTACACTAGAAATGCACTTGGCTTTCAAAGATAAAATGTTTTACAATGAGAATTCTCCTGGGTATTTATATTTGTAGTCAATCATGCCTTTGCTATCTTGAAAATTGCCACATGGGATACCGGCTTATTTGGGATAGATTGCTCATTAATGTTTTATCATCAAGTAAATCAAGGGTAAATGTGATTTATCTGTTTGCTCAGAACTTCCAACGGCCAAGCAACGGGCCTGTCGACGGTGTGTTGCACGCTGCCGCGGTCTTTCCTAAGATAAAAAAAATATGAAGCATATATAAAAGTGCACTCCAACAAAGTGACGAGTTAACGTGACAAATGTGTTTCCCTGCTTGTGGAAGACGCCCTGGTTATAATTATTAGCACGCTGGCATTGCAATCCCAGAAGTCGCCAGTTGAATTTCTCCTGCCACGTGCCCACCCAGCAGTATGCACCAGCAGATCACGTGCGATGGGGGTAAAGTGTGGGTAATGCTACATTTTCCCAAGACGTCTGCCCAGCCTGGCCAAATTACCTTCTGGATGGTCTCCGAGAACCCCGTTGTCTCTGCGAAGGAAAATAACGGAGACCGCTTTTTGTTTTCATAGTCTTCTCGCAATCGTCCTGTACTCGGAACACTCAAAGTAATCGATTTTTAAAAATGTAATAATAAAATGTCAACAATGCATATTGTGATTGTTTTTTTTATATTCTATGGGATTTCAGGAATATGCTTAAAGAATTGCACCTTCGATTATCACGGTGCGAAAGACGTTCAACGTCTATTAACAGGAACACAAGTTGAATCAACCGCGTGTCAGTCTGCTGCTTTCGTTACTCCCATCTCTTTGCTCTCGCTCTGTTATTTCTTCTGAACTTCTTCGGCCGTTTCGATTAACTTCCGTGTTTATTTATTGTTGGGGTATAAAGCATCCCACCCAGCAGCTAGCCAGGAAATTCGAGGAATAGATTGTTATTATTATACAGGAGTATGATACGCTAAGGTCTGTCTTGAACACAAAACAACCCAATGTTTTTCATTGTCTTATAATGTGACAAGATCAAATGCATTACAGTACACAGGTACACTTCAATTTTGATTTAAAGCTTTCGTAACTGCAGGGATTCATATTCTTCGTTCTTTCGGTAAAGTCACGTAGAAGGGAAACAATAAAATAATAAAAATATAAAACAATTCTCACGACGTTTCGACTGCAACACAAGCAATCATCAGGTGTGAAAACCACGTGACTTTACCGAAAGAACCAAGAATAGGTACACTTCATAATAAAGGTTTTTGGGTTAGATCGCGTTTATTTATAAATGTGTCGTAACCCTCCACCACCCGACACGGCCAATCAGCAAAAAAAAAGTGTCACGTTGACAAAAGACAAATAATTCACTACTTCAGCCCACCTGTGTGTTGAAGAGTTAATCCACATTTACAGTTTGAGTACGACGTTTCGCTGGTAAATACTTCCAGCATCATCGGGCAATTCGCGAATTGCTGGAAGTATTTACCAGCGAAACGTACTCAAACTGTAAATGTGGATTAACTCTTCAACACACAGGTGGGCTGAAGTAGTGAATTATTTGTCTTTTGTCAACGTGACACTTTTTTTGCTGATTGGCCGTGTCGGGTGGTGGAGGGTTACGACACATTTATAAATAAACGCGATCTAACCCAAAAACCTTTATTATGAATAATATTGGTCGCGAAAGCCTACGTGTTAAACTGAATAGGTACACTATTGTTGAATGAAACTGATCTAAATTTAGATTTAAAGCTTTCGTGACTGCAGGGATTCATATTCTACAAACTAAGGTGTCTCTGTGGTAGTAGTTACATTGAAGAAACCAAACGACATGTCTCGGACCGCATTCGTGAACACAAAGCAGACCTAAAACACGGTAGGACCAACACCTCGGCCGTGGCAGATCACTGTTATAATTCAGTAGGCTCACATGACATTGACTTCTCCAAGACAGAGGTTATCTGCAAGCCATCTGACTACCATGAGAGATTCGTTCATGAGGCTATCCACATATACAAACACAGAGACAATTTTAACCGAGAAGATGGATTCTGGCTTGGCAATAATTGGAAGGATTTGATAAACCATTTCGGGTCTTAATTGATTGTTCACGCTTACGGTGGCTGTCAGACCGCATCCATTGTTTTCGTCTCCCCCCTCTTTTCTGAAGATAGATGGACTCGTCCATTTGAATAACTGCCAAATCGCTCTCCGTGGTGCTAACGTTAAAAAAACCCGCCACTTTTTAAAATTTTCTCGTGGTTTTCACACCTGATGATGATTGTTTGTGTTGCAGTCGAAACGTGTTGTTTCATATTTGTATTATTTTATTTTTTCCCTTCTACGTGACTTTACCGAAAAAACCAAGAATATGAAGCTAATCGAGTATCCAAAAACATTTTGTTATCTTACATTTTGGTAGTTTACATTGACTTAAATGTTAATCCTGGAAGGGAACCTGGTTACACCAGCCCACAGGGGATTATTGTGTCCGTCCGTCGTGCATTCAAAAATGGGAGGGGTGGGGCTGGGTGGAGAGGGGAGGGTGGAGAAGGGCTGGGTGGGGAGGGAGAGGCTGGGTGGGGAGGGGCTGGGTGGGGAGGGTGGGGCTGGGTGGGGAGGGGCTGGTCACCCCGTGGTGCCCTTATAAAACTCAACGTTTAACCTACTCACACCGGCTTGTGCCCGCCCTCACAGTTGGGCATATTTGCGGAATACACCACGTGGTGCCGCCGTTGACCCTGGCCATTGACCGAGCAACCCAACGTTCCTACCATCTCCCTTCGCAGGAATGTGTTTATCTTTCTCTGGAGACTTTTTGCCAACCACTTGTAAGTATTGTTTTATATTTTTATTATTTTATTGTTTCCTTTCTACGTGACTTTACCAAAAGAAACAAGAATAAGAATCCCTGCAGTCACGAAAGCATTAAATCAAAATTTACATACAAATTTCACTTGTACATAATTCGTAATCAATGCTAACCCATGTGTGACAAAAAATACACATGGATAATACTCGTGGGGCGATGAACTTTTAATATCAATCAGCTGTGATCAACTGAATAATTTTTGCTCCGGTTTTATATTTCATTAGGAAACTTACAAATAAAAAAAAATCAGCCGCCAGATTTTTTCAAAAGCGCAAGTGATTTCCTTGCTGCCACGACAATAAATGGCACTTGGCGTATGCAGACCTTTTTCTTCTGTGCAGTGAGTCTCTAAAATAGTGCCCAGTCTGCCGCTTTTTTCCACCGTCAATTGTTTATTGTTACTGGGTTAGTGGGCCAAAATGCTGAGTTGTGCAATTTTAGCAGCACTTGAATAGAGATCAGAATACAGTCCTGTGCTTTTGACAAGAATACAAAACTGGAATTCACATAATATTACGGTGTACGTTAAGCAACTGAATACTACCACAATCTTCGTATTATAAAACACCTTTTCCCCTTGTTTATTTTATAAGCAACATATGGGGGTGTGTATTATAATCTGGTAGATGTGTGTGTGTGTGACCTGACTGATTTAAAGATTGACACTGGATACAATTTTCGGGTGCGGCTTCCTTTCTGCAGCGTCTTATAATAATCCAGAGAATTAGGTACGCAATGGTAAAGTTGAATTTAGCCACAAAATGCACCTTTAGACATCTGCGCTACCAACCCCCTGCCTTTTGTTCAAATCTAAGCTCAACGAAACTAATTTTGCTCTCGTGAGTTATTTCATATGGTGGGTGGTTAATCAGCAACGTGAATATGTTCGTGGCGTGAGCCAATGGAGTAGTCGAGTGAATATCTGAAATTCTGCCGGTGAATTATTAAAGCTGTCAGCAGTGTTAATGTGGTCTACAAACCGATGACAGACCCCTCTAATATAGAAATTCATGTCAGATGCATTCACTGTCATGATCTTATGTTTTCATGATTCTCCACGTTGCACATTTCCACTTTCTGTACGCCTTCAGGCGCAACTGCATATGAGATGCTCCATACATCCAGCTTGTCAAAATAACAATAACTGGCTTTTATTTATGCTCGTTTGCTAAGTTACCAATTATCATTCATTCATATTCAAGCCCCGTTCAACCGTTCATTGACGTCAGCGCTAACCGCTTTGCCGACGACACATTAAATAGCCGAGGAATAGGGATACATTTGGAACACGTTGCGCATTGAGACTTTAATTAAGTCACACCTCCCCCCTACTTTTTTATCTGCGTTTTAAATTTTAACACAGAACCCCACCACACATTAACGCTGAAAAGAATAAGGCGTGTGTGTACGTGGGAGGAAGTTATTCCGTGTGGTGCCAACCGTGCATAAATCCGGGCACAATTTGTCCTCCACGCAATTCACCCACTCTTGGCTGGCACGCGTCCGTGACATTTCACGTGTTCGCGTGCCATTCGACGTACGCGTGATGTGGATTCGTGTCCCGCTACTTAAAACGGCCTATTTAAATGAGGGTGACTTCAGCTGTATTTAACAATCAGTTGGGTTTAAAATAAAAACAATATATACACATTGTGTGAAAGTGATAATGGTTGAAAACATTTGCGTCGTAGGTCTTCAAGTTGACTATCGGGCAATTTCAATCTTCTTTCTTGATGCTCATTACTTTTATCATACGTTCTTCGTAAATTACGAGTGTGCGTGATAGATTTAGAATAGGGGGTGGGTGGGTGCAATGGCAGAGCCAGGATTTTCAGGTAGGGGGGGGGGGGGCAACCCCTCCAGCAATGACAAATGATAGAAGAGTTGTTAGTAAGTAAGGAGTTGTTAGTAAGTAAGGACTTGTCCCTTGCTTTGTATTCGACGCGTGTGCGGCGATGACGCAGCCATCGATCGAGGGTCGAATTCGAACCGCGTTGTGTGATCGGCATCGCGCTCGCTGAAGGTGAATGCCTTCAGGGAAGTCGTGGACTCTGTATACGCAACTGCGCACAATTTTGAGTCACTTATAACTGCTATGCCGTTACTTATTGCCAATAATGGACTCAGACTGCTGTCCTATCATCTCATAGAGTCCCTGGCACGTAATCATATGCTACACATTGGCAGTGGGGGTCGCAAAATGCCGATTTATTACTAATAAACCCCAATGATCCGATCGAAATTGGGGGTTTCGATCGGATCATTGGGGGGTGGGTGATTGGGGGGGTGTTTGTTGAAGTTTAGTTTGCTCAGCAGTAGGAATGAATGGTCGACCATCAACCGCATCAGCACCGGACCATGCAGATGATGCGGCCATCGAAGATTCAGCGGCCCTTGGAGTGGTGCGACCGAGAATCCCAAACCATCGACGACATCGTAAGCACTCCGCTGCTGTCTTCACTCCTTTAAAGTGAGGAATGGGACGAGGTCCACTCTGCTTCTGAAAAGACAATTGAGTGGATAACAAATCTAAAATTGCATCTTTAACCACTCGCTGCTATGAATCCATCCGAAAGAAGACGCAGCACAAAGTTCCAGGCGAAGAACAACAACGTCGTGCATGGCGGGGGGGGGGGGGCGTGAGCGCAGTTCGCTCACTGCACCCTCTGAGTTTGATTCTGGGCCACGGCTGTCATCAGTGGTAAGTGATTACCCAACCGGCCCTGGCCTTTACTTCACCCCCCCCTCCACCTTTCACCAACCCACACTCGCCGGCGAG